GCAGTTCCGACTCGCCCCCCGGGGGCGCCAGCCCCGCCGCCCGCGCTCACCATTGGGCCTCCAGCGCCAGCTGAAGGGGCTTGAACCAGCCGCGGGCATCTCGTCCCTAGCTGGAGCGAGACGGGGTCTTCGGCTGCCCCCGCGCGGCCTGCGGCGCCCGGGGCTTGTGAGTCCCTGGCGGGGTTCCGCGCACCTGGAGCCCTAACACACCTGCTGGCCCTAAGGCCCTCGAACCACTCTTCCCTACCCCCCCACCACAGGGCGAAGTCTCAGACACCTTGGAGAGCCGACCCTCAGCCCCTTGAGTCCTGAGCCAGATCTGGGGGCCTGTCAGCCCTGCTCAGTGGATGGGAAACAGGCGGAGCCCGTCCGGGGCTATGCCCACCACGTCGTGGACCAGGTGCCCGGCACCTCTCAGGCTTCGGCCACACAATGCCAGAGGTCTGAGTGCCCAGACTGGCTGGAGGCTGTTATCCCTGGATGGGGTATTGGACAGGGCACTAGAGGCTTCTCCAGCGGGGTGGGCCTGGCCCGGCCTAGCCTAGGGCCTTGACTGGATATACTGATCCTCTGGGCCAGCTTTATCCCCTATCACCCCCAGGTGGGAGGTGGGGGTGAGCAGTGGGCAGCCCCTCTCTAGCTGCTATAGGAGTTTTATCTGTCCCACCGTCCTGGAAGGCTAGGACCCCGTCATCCTGCCCAGTAAATATTGTTGGTTGTTGGGAGAAAACATGCCCTGAGAATGATGGGGCACGCGAGCCAGAGGGCCCTACTCCAGCTGTCAGGGGAAAGGGAAGGTCCTGCCAGGACCCACACCCCTTCTCCCCAACACGCCCGGGCCTTGCCACAGCCCCAGGTGCTCCCCGGAGGCTCTCATCCCAGCAGGGCCAGGCCATGGGAGACCATTACTTTCTGCAGCTTTCCCTTTGGCCCAGCCTGTTGTGGGGCGGGGAGCCTAGGAACTGCCTCCAGCCACCTCCCCACCACCCCAGCCCAAGCTAAAAGCAGCCCTGGGCTGGAGGGTGGGGAGGGTCAGGCACCTGTTGGAGGGTCCAGCAGAGCCCTGAGCTGTCAGCCCCTGTCCCGGGTGAGCCCATGAGCCCAGCAAGAAAAATAAGGCTGACCCGACCCCAACCAGACCGCCTCCCCCACAGGGTCAGGTGGGTTCCAGGACTCCCCAGGGATGGGACGGTGTGATAGTGTGCAAATGTGTCCTGGAGGAGGTATCCTGGGTCCAGGGGAGGCGAGGGTTGAAGTGAGGGGATGAGACAAACAGGAGGGGGCATTGGCGCAGGGGAGGGAGGGGGGGACAGGGCAGGGTGCTGGGGTCTTGACAGGAGGACCAAGCGATGGTTCATGATTGGTTTTTATTCTCTTCTGTGCACGGCATTCCACATTTCCCATAAGCATTGAGATGTTACAATTTTGTGTCTTCAGGAACGTAAAGAGGAACTGAGAAAGGTCCCCCAAGCTCTGTGGTCTCCTCACACCAGGCTGACGTCACCGGGCCTGGGGCTAGAAGGAGGCAGGCCTGGCCCAGCCCTGGTGCCAAGGTCACATCAGCTTCCCCAGGGCCACAGCCGGTAGTGACCACAGAATGTGGAACCAGGTGGCCCCCAGGATTTCCCAAGAGGTCCGGATGCCCTGGCTCCAGCTGTCCAGGAGGGCAGGCTGGGGAAGTAGCCCACCCCCAGGCCAGATTCAGCCTCCAGGCCGGCTCCCTTCCTTGAGGAAGGAAGCCACCCCACTCCCAGGCCCTGCTCCAGACACCCAGGGGAGTCCGAGCTCTCCTCCCTAGCAGGGACTGCCTGGCACTATGAACACCTGTCTGCCCTCGGCTCCCTAAGGGCAGAGGACCTAGTAGGTGCTTCATAAATGAGCAGGAGCCGAGCCTGCACCAGGCCCCTATGTGACCCTGCCCTCCCCCAGCACTGTCCAGTTCAGGGGGTGGGCTTAGAGGGCCATTCCCACTGCCTTTGGTGCCCACCCTGCCACCTCCATGGGGGCCAGTTGAGCTCAGCCAGGTGGGTCCCAGCCCCCTCCCAGTGATAAGCCTAAAGGATTGTGACATTGAGTCCTGCCTCCAAGGACTGGGAGTGGCAGGCCCCCACACCTCGTGTCACACAGTGTGGTAATAGCGGCCCCCCTTCGCTGGGGCCAAGCACTGCCCGGGACAGCTTCCCTGCATCCCCTTGCTGGGCCTCACCTGTGTGCAGGGAAGGGAGGGGGACGGAGCTGATAGCGGGAGCCTGGGGAAGCCACCAGGGCCACGCATAGTGGGGGAGGGAGCAAGGTTTGACTCAACCTCAACCCGCTGCCTGGCTTTCTCTTTGCTTTCCCTCCGGGCTTTCTGCTTCTCTTTCTCCAAGGGCCACGAGGACACCTCCCCTCCTGGGCTTGTTAGGGCAGGGAGGTGACCTTCTCTGAGTATGTGACCCTGAATCCAGTCAAGGATGGTACCCATTGGCTCACTGACCTGCCGGTCCCAACAGTGGGGCTGGGTCCCTTCCCCCAAGCCAGGGACAGACCTGGGGGCGGACAGCTGAGGGCTGGGGGCTGGGAGTCTGAGAGAAGGCCCAGGCCTCCACCCCAAGGGCCCCCCCCCCAAGTGTGCAAACCTCTGTCTGAGTACAATAACCAAGCTCTACTTTTGTAATTAAAAATATATTCGAAGGAGAAAAAGAAACAAAAGGAACAATGTTTGTACTCTGTGTTGTTGCAGACAGCAGAACCAGAGAGGGGGTGCTGGCCCCGGGGGAACAGCAAGGAGAGGCTCCCGGGATGCCCCAGCACCCCAAATCCTGCCCATGCAGGAGTGGGGGAGCCCGGCAGGCACCCGGCCCCCTGCTGGCTTCTCCAGCGTACCTCTCTCCGAACTCACCACCCAGTCCAGTGGAGGAGCAACCAAGCAAAAGCACTGTGTTCCCCAAACCGTTTCCTCTTCCTCTGACCGAACAGAACAAAGACCACATTCCCAGCCCCTCGGCAGCTGGGGGGCCACTCGGCCAGTGCTGGCCACAGACAGGAGAGCAGAAAGGCACCCACCCCCTCCAGCCCGGGGCCCATCCACACCAACCAAGCTATCCTGCCCCCTCCTGTCCCTGCTCTGCCAGCCAGACTGGGGGTGGGGTGGGGGCGTCCAGGGAGGGACTCCTGGGGACAGCAGAGCCCCTGGGTGGCCGAAGCCCTGAATGACCACAGGGAGCAGAGCCACGAGCTCCCTCCGCACGCCCACCTGACCGAGATGGGAGTGAGAAATAAGGGTCGAGTGCCACTAACATGCGGGGGTCGGGGGGCTTGTCTGTCCCAGCCGCCCGCGCTGCCCACCCCCGACTCCCCTGCATGGCACGGGCCTGTTTGGGGCGTCATTTTCTGGATGAGGGGACAGGCCTGGGCAGATTGAAGAACTTGGTCCTGCTCCAGGGCTTAAGGCAGCTAACCCCCTCCCCCAGGGCCTCGCGGGGGTGTTTCCCCTGGCAGTGCCCCCGGTGCCAAGGGAGTGGGCCCCTTTTGCAGTCCAGGAAACTGAGGCTCGATGGGGAGACACCCTTGCCCAAGCGAGTGGCAGAGCGGGGCGGGAGGTGCCGACCTCAGCCATGTGCTGCCGCCTGCCGGCTGACTTCCACTCTGGGTGTCCCAAAGCCCCCTCCTTCTGGGGAGCCGCGTGGAGCTGCTTCTGGAAGCCCAGGAGGGCAGCCTGTGTCCTGGGGCCCGCCCCCGGCGTGCCCCCAGGGACCCTGCGAGGGGCGTCTGTCTGCAGGCCCCCCGGACTGCCCTGCAGACACCGAGGCACATTCCCCAGGCTGACAGCACCAGGCACCTTGAGCCCGCCCTGCACCCGGGCGCAGCTCCTTGCCTCACTTAATCCTTCCAAGAACCCGAACCGAGAGGCGTTTTGATGCCTGTTTTGCAAGGGAGGAACCAGAGGCTCAGAGAGGTCGAGCAAGCGCTCAGCGCTCAGGGGCAGCAGATCGGTGCCTTTCTCCGGCCCTGAGCCCCTCCCTGGACTTCCACAAGGGGCGGGTGAGCACAAAGGCAGGAGAGGAAAGAAAGCAAGAGTCCCGGGGTTAACCTCCCCCGCCATCCCCCAAACCTGGAGCCCGGGCTGGCCATCCGTGGGGGCCTGTGGCCCAGTCCCGGGAGGGCGGACCCCTCAGGCGCCTCCCATTAGGGAGGTGACCAAGCTCTTGCCCAGCCCAGTCTGCCCTCTCCTGTGTAGATCTTGGCCTGTCCACTGTGTACCCCACCAGGGCAAAGGCCCGCTGCCCCATCCATTCCCCACCTCCTCCCCCACAGCCCCGGGCTGGGCCAGCCCTTGCCCCACCCCCC